ATACCGGCAAAGACAGAATTCCCATTGCTCTGGTTGATGAGTTGGAACATCAATGGATGCGGTAACTGTTGCGTAGTTTCACGGAAATTTGAGCGTTCTCGACGTGCGGCAGCGACAGAGTAGGGATTGTAAGGGTCGAAGGCGGTAAAAGTATGGGAGTTCGAAGGGGTTGTCGAGATGGTCGTCGAGGCGGAAAGGAGCTGCTCCAGGGCGGACTGCGGAAGAAGGATCTTGTCGCCCTGCAAGTCCTTGCTTGCGATCCGCGAGGGGTGCGTAACATTGAACGGCGCCGACCAGTTCAAGTGCACCGATTGTTCAGCCATATTGTCGCGTGCGGCTGTCGCACTTTCCAACAGCAGCGTATGGTTTCGATTTTGTGACGGTAAGCGAGAATCGTGGTGCAATTTCGCGGTGGCTTCGGTGTAGAAGACGATTGATGCCTATTATAGCGGTATTAAGTATTATGTGATTGATAGAGGTGACAGTAAAGGGCTCGTGGCCGACGGTGTTTTCAGATCGTTCGACAGATGCGACTGTTGATGATGATGATGATGATGGAAGAGTCGTGGCGGATTTGCTCGGTTCACTTTGCTCAGTCAGCAGAAGCTTGGTGGGCTGCGCAATTCGGAAGAAGCCTGAAAGCTTCTTGGAGGTTCCATCCACTTTAACCACAGCTTCGACCAATCACAAGACCAGCTTGCTGTTAGTGATCATCTCCAACGGACGCTGCAGTGGTCTCCATAACCTAAGGTACTTGAGAATGTACATTCACATCTACACTACGTAATGGGTTCAGTAAGTATGCTGAGATATGATAGCCTCAGACGGACTCTGAAGTCTCACTCATCAGAGTGACTGTTTGCTGGTTCTAGTGTACAACCAAGACGACTTAACAGGATGAAGTGATGGCCCAGATCAAGGAAAATTAGGAAAGATCACTAGTGTTCGGGGCAGCGGAGCTGCGACCCTTCCGTATAGGTGCAAGGCTGGATTCTGGGTTGTAGCCCGTGCAGAGCTGGATTCTAGGTTGTAGCCCGTACAGAACTGGATTTCTAAGTTATAGCCCGTACACCTACACTCCATATATAAACGAATATAGCCAAAATAATCCAATCTACTTTTAAATCCTTCCCTTTTACAACGCAACAACCACAACCACCCCCCCCCCCCTAATCCTTATATATTCTATACGCCCTTACCAATTCGTATCCACCCTATGCGCACCTATTACCAATATAATAAGTACTTTCCAAACACACGCGCATACTTTTTAACATACTAACATACCTTTCAAATAATTCTTACCTTACTTTTATAATACCCCCCAAACCTACTAAGCCTACTAAGCCTAGAATTTGCAATATAAAGAATAAAAATTAATTAGCATCTATTATACCGATTGGCCTAGAATTAGAAATATTTAAAGAACCCTATATAAACCCTATATAAACCCCTACCGTTACTAAATAGGAAACTATTACTACGGAGGAGATTACTACTACTCTTATTATAACTGCCCCTAACCCTACCCCGTCCGTGCTAAGGTCGGCTAATAACCGTATAGAAGCGTTGAAAGACCGTAAATTATACAATATTAAAATTACCGGTATAAATATTATTAAATATATCTATAAGTAATAAGAGGGGAAGAAAATGCCAGCTAATATTAATAAATTACTAAATATACCCGTAAACAATCACTTTATACCCCTTTCAAATACTATTATTTCCAAAAAGCTAACCTTTCTACTCTGTAAGTTCTATGCAATTTGATATTTAAAACTTTAGCTCCTAGTATTTAGAATATTAAATTTATATATATTTATAATTTACGTATCGAAGTATAGTTAATTATAATTATAGGTAATTATACTTCGTATAGTATATACGGGTTGTATAATATATTAAGAAGTATTATATAATTAAGGGTATTACTTCTAAAGTTTATAATAATTACTATATTAATAGCGGAGGTACGTAATACCCCTTCTACTTTAGATATACGCCGTTTACAATTTCCTATAAGCGTATAAAAGGTACTGTAGAAGACGATAAGGTTCCCAAAAGCCCGGCCGCAACTAAGAAAGTACGTATAAATACTACTACCTAAATCTATCTTACCTTTACTATATAGATAACTATAGCTCTATAAATATCCCTTACTCATATATTCCTTTATATAACTAAAATTAATATTTCCTTCTATAATTATTTTTAATATAGTAATATATTCGCCCCTATATAGATACTATACGGAATCCCAATTACCTCCGCTGCCCCGGCTGTTACCTTCCCTTCTATTTTAAGTATAATAAATAATATATAATTTAATATTATAGCGGATTAGTTTTCTATTATAATTATTGCTTTTAGAATTACTGTAAATACGAAAAGGGCGTTAGAGAAATTTTAGAATATATAAATATTAGATTGTAGAAGGTGTATAGAGTTTATAGAAAGTGTATAGAGTTTTCGGTTTATAGTTAGAGATAATTAGGGTGTTTACTCCTATATAGTAGATTTATTCAATTATATTTACTTCCCTACTCTATATATCTATTTATAAATATAATATAATATATAAATAATTGATTAAGAGTATAATAATATATATATAGGTAATAATAAGGAAGGATATAAGGTATAAGTATAAGGTAAGATTAATATAGAGTGTAAAGAAATAATAAGAAAAGATAGGAAGGAGTATGTAAAGACCCTTAAATTAATGTTTCCGGCTATACTACGTTACGTAGAAGCTTATCCTCCTCGGTCTATACCTTATATAAAAGTATAGAAATGTTCTGTACCGCCGTAACCCTACTTATAGCTACGTAAAACTGCCTATAACTAAAGATATAATTCTATAAATTAATACTTATATATTTAAAGGATTAGCCTTAACTTTTATTAATAGTTATAGAGAAGTAAAGCTGTACCGGAAATTACGTACGCTTTAGTTTGTACGCTTATTTATTATTTCTAATTATTAACGTAATACGAGGAATTATCTATAGCTCGCCTATAAAGGATCCTTCTAGAATCCTTCCTTCGATTACCTGTTTGTCTATCCTAATTACCGCTAATCTAGTACTATTGTATATACTACTTTTAGGGTATAAATTATATAAAAGTAGGATAGATATACCCTTCTTTAATATAAATTTGCCGGGCGGGAATTCTGTAAATTCTTAAGCTTACAAATACTCTAGCGTAAATTATAAATCCTATATCTCATCTAACGGTATATCTATAATATTTATAGAATTATATTGAATATTCTCACTCTCTATATAGGATAGGATTTTTATATTTATTTCCCGGATAAATATATTACGGGCATAAAGAATAGCCCTATTAATAAAAATTATATTATTTGTAAAAATAGTAGAAAGGAGGGAAGTAGGATAAATTTAGAATAAAAAATCTTCTTTTATAGTAGTAATGAATGTAACCGGAAATAGTTAAACCTAACCGGACTCGTAGTAAGCAAACTTATAAAATAAATCTTACAATTATTATACGAACGTACAAGTTTATTTAATAGCTCTCTAAATATATATATTCTCTGTAAAATGCAATACTTTAACGTAATTCTAAATAGGGGAATATTTAAAATATATAAATATAACTTCCGTCTATTTACCTTTCTTCTTTATAGGTAAAATCTAAGCGAAATTCCTACTAAAAATTATTAGAATACTACCGAACCGAACCTCCTTACGGCTTAGTAAATCCTATAAAGTATAATCTATAACTTCGATATACTTTTAGTTTTATATAAGAACTTCGTTCTAAATAATTAAGGAAGTATATTCTAGTAATTTATATAAATTAATATTCTTTTTAATATTATATACTTATAGAGTAGAAATATCCAAAGGGATTTTGAATTAGGAGTGTATAGTCCGTCTGCCTTTTAATAAAAGTATTGCAATATTAAAAGATACTACGTATAGTATTACTTTATTCCGGGTATAAAAATATATATATAATCTATAATAGAGAAATGTTTTTCTAGTGCCTCCCGGTCCTTATATAAAGAAGAGGGCCTTTTTAGGGTTACTTTTTACGGCTATAACAATCTTATTAAAGACTGTAATTTACTTAATATTAAATTTGGATTGAATATTGTCCGAAAGTCGTTATTATTTATCCGGATTATATTGTAATTCCTACCGTAAAAGAGGGTTTCCGTCTATCTATTCCTATATAAATACTAGTTCTGGGAAATATATATTAAAAAGAGATTTTTCTAATTAAATAAAATATTAACTAATAAAGTATAAACTATAATTAATATATAAATCCTATAAATTAGAAAGTACGTCTACTATTCCGGCTACTCTATAGGGTAAGTCGTTATAAAATAAATATACAAATTTATCCTAAATACCTTTCGAATCCGTTATAAGATTACTATTCGTTAAGTATATTGCGAATAGATACTGTAATTACCACCCAATCTATTAAATTCCAGCCTCTTCGAATAGTACTTCCTATTGGGAATTATTATCCAAAAGCCCTCGCTTTAAATAAGCCTCCTTAAATATATTATATACTATACCGTCTATAGTATATAAGTCCTAAAAAGAGGTAAGCTTAAGTACATTTATTAAGAGTAAATATAAAAAATACTATTTACCGGCTATAGGAAGAACGTAATAAAGCCGCCCGATAATAAAACCCTTTTACTGTAACTGCTAAGCTCTTGTATTCTCTTTTTAAATATATTTAGAAGGGAAATCTATGTATAGAATATTTTTATTTAAACTATTAAAATATTCTGTATTATATTTAAAGAACCCTTTTAATATAGTCCGGGCAGCCCGCTCAATCCGTATAACTACTTTATTAGGGGGTAAATTGGTAATTATAGTAATAAAAGGATTATCCTTAAAATATATAGTTAGTAGTATAATTAGAAAATACTCTTCGTAAATACCCTATTCTATAGTCCGAATAAATATTTCTACTAAATTTACGTACCGTACAAATATATACTATTTAAATTTATCCAACTCTATAATCTCTACAATAGTCCTATCCATACCTTTATAAATATATTTATAAATATACTTAATAGTATTTACAATAGAGCAAACTTCTACGTTAATATAATATTTATACTTTAAAACTAAGTACAGATTGTACGGTACAACAACCCTATTATTTAATTATATATTATTCCTATTTACCTTTTTCGTAATATAAATATTATTATTATAGCGTTTATAAGAAAAGTAGCTAGTATTTTTAATAATAATCGTTTCCTCCGTATAAAACTTAGGATACTACTTTCTATACTTTAACGTAACCTTTTTATCTTTCTCGTTTATAATTATATATAGAGCTTTCGGGTTATCTATATTGTAAGGATTGTATATTAAGAGAGTATCTAGTAAACCCTTAAATTGGCCGTCCGGGTCTTTTTCCAGGGTTAGAAACTTTATTCGTATAGTCCGGTCTATAATTTCCGGTTATAAATAAATCTATTAGGAATTAGAATTTAAAAAGACTAAAATATACTAGTATAGAAAGCCCTATTTCTAAAACTCTAGAATCTATATAATACTAATATACTTACTAAAAAGACCTTCCTTAATTTCCTTAACTAATATATTTACTTTTAAGTTAAATATATAGCCAACAATATCCGGCCGATTACTAATATTAAAACTATTCAATTCCCGTTCAACCTCTAATTAATATAAATTCGTAATTATAGTAATAAAAAACGTAAACTTTCCTAATTTACAAATTATAACTATAGAATTCTAATAGTATTTTATATTATAACAAATACTACTAATATAATTTACGGACAATATAACTCTCTACCCAACATCCGAAGTAATACTACCCTCCCCTTACTAAACATCCGTATTACTAATCTAGTCTATTAAATTCTAGTATAGTTCCGTACGGATTTCTATTTAGTAATACCTAAACCAATTTAATTTATTTTAATTATTTATAATAAATTCATTTACTAATTATTACTAAAAAAACTATCTAAATAGGAATAGAATATCTTTCTAACTATTACACAAGAATAAATAATATTTATACTACTTATTCTACTTTATATAAGGATCTTTACGGGTAATAATATTCACCCTTATTAAGGAGCGATAAAACCCGTAATCCCTATATAGCAATATTAACAAATATATTAAAAGAAAGTAAATAAGGTAGGTAATTAGAATATAATTGAATATTCGAAAACCCTTACAATTTAAAATAATAAATTTTGTAGAATTGAACGTACTATCCTTACGTACTCCATCCTACTCGTTAGGTATATCCGGAAGAATTCTAATAACCTCATCCGCAGTAGGAAGGTTTTCGCGCCTCCAATTAACACCTTCCTATACAATTAACTATAAATATATCTAAAAATTAAATTTAATATAAATATTTTTAAATTAATAAGCTTCTAAGTATTCTTTTATATTATTATAAATATTTATGAACGGGTTATAATAATATAGAAAGAATGTAAAGTCCTCTACGAATTTAGGATTTATATTTAAAAAAGTTTAAAAATACTATCTAATTTAAATTTACGTAGGATTAAATATTTATAGGTTATAGATATATAATTGGGCATACTTAAAAAGTCTACCCGGTTTTAACTATAAAAGACCTTACAAATAGTATAAAACACCCTATATTTAAAAATCCTAGAGCCTACCGCTACCCCTATACACTTTTTCTATATAGTCTACGGATATAAAAATAAAAGTGTTATTATAGTACTATAGCTTTTCCTAAAATTTCTAGGCCTATTAGTTATTCCCTTTCAATAACATACGTAAGAAGGCTAGTAATAATTTCTAACGAAGCAGATTAATATCACCCTACACACAATAATTACTAAATTTGGAATTATTTATAGAAGTACCCTATAATAGAGGTTAATAGAGTATTCTAATTAAAAAAAGGGGTATATAGATAATAAATTATTTATTTAATTAATATTTTATACTATAAGATTCATATATAATATTCATCGGACCTAAATTTACGTATAGGGTAGCTTAAATACTATTGAATAGGATTTAAATATTTAGTTCTCCGGGCCGTAAACCCTATATATCTATAGAAATCGGATTAAGTAATCCTTATATAGTTACTATTCGGACTGTTTCCGTTTAAATTTATTAATATTTAGTCCGCTACCGTATACGTATAATCCTTACGGACCCGGTATATAATATGTACGTTCTATAAGGCGCTCTATAGGTACTTAGACGGAAATCCGAAATCGGTTTATTCTTATAGTAAATAGTATAGTAGGAGGTCTAGGAATTATTTATAATTCTTTGCAGCCTTCTTCTATATAACGGGCGATTAGTATTAGGGTTTATAGGGTTTATAGCGGCCGTACAGTTATATCGGGGAAGTATATTAAATGTTTTACTATTAATATTATTAATTAATAATTATATGAAAAGTATATGAAAGTGCGAAAAGGGTTGTACGGGAATGTACTAATAGGAAAAGTGCGAAATTTAAATAATATTAATAATTTATTTGCGGGTGAAAAGGGGGTTTTCGGTCCGTGCGTTATGATTTGGGTAGTGCGTGCAGGATTTTACGTGGGGAGCGCCCGCGAAAGGCACTAACACCTTACCCGGATTTTTTAGCGGCCCAGCTCGTGTAGGTATATAGAGAAGAGAGAGAACGTCATGATGGACAAGAGTCCAGGGAGCATTTTGGCAGGCAAGGGGAAAGAAAGCGAGGCTGACGGCATGATCTCCGACGCTACCCTAGTGTACCTTAAGTACTTACCCCACCTCTTAGGGTTGGCGGACAGAGTGGAGATAGGTCGAGTACATAAGCAAGGTGGGGTCAATGCTTATCCTCGACCATGTCACCTCAAACCACCGACCGTCGGAAGCGAAGTGCACACGCCAGAATGACAAGGTTGCCAATTTCTTCCCGTTACCTCCGGCTCAAATTTACTCTTTCCGCTCGACATCCCAGCACACAGTTATCCCCATCTTGTTAGGAGGAAACGGTGTCCACGTGTCCAGGACTCCAGGTTGACGGTACGCACGCATCTGCATGTCGCCGACTTCAACTCGAGCTTTCCACTGAAGGACACCCCACGTTGCAACGCAGGACCACTTTACTGGTGGCACTCCGAGTCCCCTTGATGACCTCTCGTCTGGCCATCCTGCCGCAGAGTCGCAGCAGCCCATCATCACAAAACTACCTGTCATGGAGCACAAAGCCCTTGAGCATATGTATGGAGTATATATTCTGTAGGTATGTATGATAAACCCTTGACTTGTCGGGGGTTGTTCAACCCCAATATGGCTGCATCACTCCTTGACCAAACATCTTATCTGATCCCAATGGTCAATCCAATGGAACTATATCGCACTGCTATCAAAGGTAATCATGTCGATCCCCGCGGCTCGGATGGTTGACGCACAGACAAGACAGATCAGCGGTACTGAATGGAACCCAAAGCCAAACAGGGCGTCGAGCTTTGAGACAAGTTACGCCTCCAACATCCCCCCGTCTTTGTTTACGGTTCCTCAACCCCACACTTTCTGGACTGTATGCAATCCAGATGACAGGTTCACCACCACCATCATCCAGGGTATCATTACAGCTGTGACCTCCATGACGGTCGAACCGAGTTTCACAGCGTGTCAACGTTGCGGCTTTCAAGTACCTCTCAGAATCCACACTATCTGCCGCCGATCGAGACCTTCCCCCTTCCCCCTTGACCCTTGAACCTATATCTACATGCATCATCCCTACTCGTGACCAAGACCCTTAACATTGCTGCCCCTGCCCCGAGGAGGTGTTTAAAACTTTTTCTTTTTTTCCCTCTCCTCTACCAGAGCTCTATCTCTACTCATCGTTATTATCGACCCTTCGTTTTACCGCGCAGATATCGTCTCCATTTGCCTCTACATATACGACCCTATACGTGAACAATGACACATAGCGCCAGTCTATCTACCGAGATTCGCCACAACGCCCTCCTTCAACTTCTTGCCAACTCGTTGGTCCTGAACCATACCACTCCCTACTTGTCTTCCTACGATGTCTTGAATCTAGCTGCTACCTCGCGTACCTTCCGATACATCGTCTATTCCACGCCCCATATCTTTAGCCGCTTGGACCTTACCACTGTCAGGAAGGCTCAGTACATCGAAGAGAAATCCAGTCGCGGTGGCGAGTCAGAGGGTGAACAGACGGAAGACAAGTACACACTCTCCCCATCATCTCATGCCTAAGCGAACGCCTGCTGACTTGTTCATTCTTGGGACAGCGTCTACTCGGGCCACCTCCGTCGTATCTTTAGCAGCCTTCGGTGTCTAGATATCCTCCGACATGTCCAAGTCCTTTGCCTCGACGGACTTTCCGTTACCTCCGAGCTAGTCCACGAAATCCTCACCGACCCAACATACTCGGTCAAAATCCTATCGATCCGTGATGTGGTGAACATGAATGAAGGGAAGCTCCGTGCTGCCTTGCAATATGCGTGCCGACCATCAAGACCTGAGGGGACACCACGCTTGAAAGGTCTCTATGTGTTCGGGCCCAAGGACTCGGTACGCCCTGACTTGTCCAGCTCAGGCGCTTCTACTCCGACCTCAACATGCTCATCAACCTCGTGGGCGGCTGGTACTGGTGCAGCTGATCAGGAGCCCGAGGCGTGGTATACCAAGCGCGGCGCTCAGTTCCCAGTCCTGAATGGAAGTCGAACTATTTCCGAATGGGCCTCGTGGGCCTCCACGCTCATCGCGTGTTACAGCAACATAGCCTTTGACGCTGTCCTTTGCACTGGTCCTAGACACCTGAACTCTCGCGCGTGGGGAACGGTGAACATCGAAGCACTGAATGCCGCCAAAAACCCAGCATCGGCGGACGTTCCCATTCATGCTGTCGCCACGCACAGCCTAGGCGGGTGTGCTGGCTGCGGTTCAGCCCCCGAGGGATGGACGATCTGGGGTGAGGAGCCTCCGACAGAGCGTGATCCCCACGAAAGGAGAGCAAGCGAAGGCGGCACGATGACAACCGACATCGGCCGGTTCCCCTTGCTTGCCCCGCCGCCACTGCACTCAGTCAGCTTGAAATCTGCCATGTGTCCGACAGGCCAGTCGGTGTATACCCGTCTCTCGCAGTTCAGGAGCAAAGATGAACAGGCCCGGTTTATCCCGCGCTGTTATGACTGTATCCGTGATCGATACTGTACGGGTTGCAATAAGTGGTGGTGTGAGACGTGTTACGTTGGACCTTGGGCGTCTGTTCATGATGGCGAGGCTTCGCAGGCTAAGATGACTGATCTTGTGAGCGGTCTTTGTCCCCTTCGCGTCCTGAACCCAGGTCTCGCTGGAGACTGGCTCTCAACATTTGTCCTAAGTGCGCAGTTTGCTAACCTCACTCTGACATAGGCCCGCGTAACCAAGAGTTGCTGGGAGTGCGGCATGAATGTTCGTTAATTTTCTCCCACCCGCCGAACCACACACCTGAATATTCCTGACACTTCTTGTTGCCAGTGCCGCGATTGCATCAACGACACCCAACGAATCTGCGCTCGCTGCGGTGGAGGCTACTGCCTGTCTCATAACGAGGGCTCGAATCACACCACGTGCGACTGTATGTGCAATCCTTACCGTGTGATACCGATTTATGACTTGGCGAAATATTGCCAGAATTGACATTTTTACATAGGGTGCTCCGCTAGAGGCAGGGCCGGCGTCAGACATCCTGAGCTCTATTGACAGTGCAGTCCCTCAACCCTCATGCAACATGACGGCTTGAGATCGGCGTCCTGGCTGTGTGAGTAGACAGAAAGTGGGAGTTACCTCGGACAGTTGGCCTCGGGATGGGTGACGATTCGGACGTATCTCCTCTGTTTTGTTTTGCTGTGCTGCTGGGTTTACTTTTTTTTTTTTTTTTTTTTTTTTTTTTTTTTTTTTTTTTTTTTTGTGTGTTGGTCGGATGTAGTGATACCCTGATGTTTCGGCGTTTTGTGTGTTTTGGTCGATTCTTCAAATCCTTTCTCTTCGGCAGTCTGGAGTTACGAGGACAACTCACCTCTTTTCATGGATACTTACCATGCTGTATATACCCAAGTCTCGCATCTTCAAACAGTGTTTGTGTTACATGTTTTCGCTCGACGTGTGTGTGTTTTTGTAAACTTGAGTGCACTATACCTGACGATGTACAGTGGACATCCAGCCGGCAAGCTCGGCAAGCGTGACATCCGGGATGTCTGCCAGTCCCGGGCCGCGAGTCTTTGAAAAGGTACGACGGTAAATAGACTTTAGACTATCTGAGATAAACCCTTTCCCTCCAGCCATACTAGGGCTCTTTCGGTCCGCTCACGGCATCTGGGATCACGTCTCCATCGTATGTATGTAATATACATTTTAACTACGTACTGGTGGATGCGTGGGTGAAGAGTGAATCGGAACTAACGGAGTTAAACCCGACGCTCGGTAGGGGGGCACCTGACCAATCAGCGATGGGCAATGATCTCAAAATGGCAGGTTTGGCGATTGGCACCTCGGTGATAAACACAGGACCGAAACCCTGTTCTCAATGAACATGCTTGAGGCTTAGATCTCGAAATTCGAAAATCATGCCGAGGCTGGTCGATTAATCAGATCCGGTCACTCAATCTAATCATTATGAGTCCATTCAATCGGTAACGATATGATTTCAGCGGGCGGGGTGGCACATGGCATCAGGACTGTAAACTGAAGTGCCTCCCATAGACGGTGACAATAAAAGACATCTTTTTTTTTCCCCATTCCCGAACGCCCTTGGCGAAAGCACATCTTACCAACAAGGCCAAGCAAGACATTTATTCCCAAAATGTTGCAACAGTATGGCATCTCCCGACTTTTCGAAATGTCAATCAATCAATTCTGCGCTCGTGCTTGACACCCACGGCGCCAAAATCGATGCCCAGGAAACGCTGCAGGACGGGATTTCCCGCATTGACGCAGTACATGATGAATAATGGAATGGGCTGCCCGCGACCGACACTAGAAATCACAAAATCTGGAATTTGCGAACGATTGATTTCTTTCAAATATTATCAATGGCTTGGAATTATCCGTCCTTCCAGAAGGACTCCTGGAACACACAGGTTGTAGTGTAGCAAATGAGTCCCGTCATTGAGACCGCCAAGTTGTCTCAAGTTGTGCAAGAGCCCGCCGGCGCCACCCGGAGCCAAGAAACTTTGTGCAGAAGAAGTGGCACAAGGGTTCGGGGTTGAAGATCTGCCCGGGCAGGGACAGGGGTTTCGTCCTCGACGATCCGGGAAAGGGGGGGCGGGTCGCCGGCTTCCGGTAGTTCTGGATCCCGTTGCACAAATTTTGTGCACAGCGCATGTGCGTTATTCATAAGCTTAAATCCTGTGGATTAGGTGCGCGCCCCGGATCTTCGACATCCGTTGTCCCACTTTCCCAGATGGCGCTGATGGACAAGAACCTGAACCAGAACCGTAGACAGTCTCACCTCCGGGCAACGCTTTCGTTCAATTGATCGACCGGAAACCGGCACGGGGACAAGCTTTCTCTCTTCCCTTTTTTCCTAATTTTTCCTTCTTGTTTTCTTTCACAGCTGACGCTTTTGAGTATTGGTTCCTTACTTTTGGTCATTGCATGTGCACAGTTGACACTCCTTGGTGGTTTGGTCATTTCCTTTCCTTTCTCCTACTGACAAGGGATACTCCGACCTGATCGATACGAAAAGGGGAAAGAGACTAGTACAAGAACAATTCCAGCGGACTTTTTTCCACCGCCTCCATTACCGACACAAAAGAGAGAGAAAACCGGCACGTAGATGGCCAACTTACTTACTTAAAGAATCTGCAATCGACCGGACTAGCCATGACTTTACAAGCCCCCCATGTCCACTCTCGGGACAGCATCAGAGAAGTTTCCAGATTTTCGAAATGAGATCCGATCGGTATGGTATCTTAGCTGTTGATGCCCGTGTGGCGGGTGCCACTCTTTGTCCTCATCAATCCAATTGACTGGGAGAGATCATGGGCCTCGAATTTGGTGTCTAGTCAGATTGCCCAGAATGCATTGTCAGATGACGACCTTTCCTTGTTCTTAATCCCATTTGTGCAAGACTAGTGCATTTCAGTCAGGGGAGGGCCCCATGGCCCCATCATCCCCATCAGCTTCCCAACCCCGGCCCCCGGTCCCCGGTGCTCATCACCAACCTGAACGGGGTCTCGGGCTTGTTGGCTTTGCCGCCAGTCAGGACCCAGTGAAGAATAATGAAAGGGAGTTATGCAGATGCCTTGAGTGTTGAGGCTTAATGTTCACCGAGGCCCCTCGATGGCCCCAACAACTCCAAGTACACAAACATACAAAACCTTCCGCTGATCCTACTCTCGGAAACGATTCCCTCCTCCTGATATTCTCCATCATAGTCAACCGAATTACAACAGCCATCCCCTCCAGGCTTCCCCCGTCAACCAACAACCCCTGGTATCCAGACTATACCAGTTCAGGTTCAGACATCATCACAACAATGGCGGACTCCAAGGCACAAACACCACGAGATTCCGGTACCTTCGACAAGGAGAGGCCACTCAATTTTGATGTGGAAAAGGGTGAACAATCTGATCTGGATGGCGCAACTATTCAGGCTCATTCAGAACGGGGTGTGTCAACCCATAGCGGAAATCAGGAGAAGGCTATTGCGGAGGAGACGGAGCAGGATCCCAACATCGTCGACTGGGACGGACCTGATGACCCGGAGAACCCCATGAACTGGCCCGACAAGAAGAAGTGGCTCAACGTTGCCGTCCTTTCCATCCTTACCATCATTACGTGAGCCCCCCTTCTCCTCTCTTCTCTCTACCCTTACCCAGTGACCCCCAATGCAAACTAACATCACCCCACCTATCACAGTCCTCTTGGCTCTTCAATGTTCGCGCCTGGCGTCAAAAACATCTTGGTCGAATTCCACGAGACATCTTCCACCACGGCCACCTTCTTGGTATCCATCTATATCCTCGGCTTCGCCTTTGGTCCCCTCCTGGTTGCCCCGCTCAGTGAGATGTACGGCCGGGCGCCCCTGTACAACTTTGGCAACATCCTCTTCACCATCTTCACCGTTGGTACCGCCCTCAGCAAGAACACGGGCATGCTCCTCGCCTTCCGTTTCCTCATGGGCCTCGCCGGTTCTGTGCCCATCACCATCGGCTCCGGTTCCATTGCCGACTGCATGACGCTCGAAAACCGCGGTAAGGCCATGTCGTTCTGGGCTCTCGGCCCCCTGCTTGGCCCCTGCATCGGCCCCATTGCTGGTGGCTACCTCATCCGCGCGGCCGGCTGGCGCTGGGTCTTCTGGCTGATCACCATCATCGGCGGCTGCCTTATCCCTTTCGCCTTCTTCTGCCTGCGCGAGACGTACGCGCCCGTCCTTCTCGAGCGCAAGGCCGCCCGCCTCCGCAAGGAGACTGGCAACCCCAACCTGCGTTCCAAGCTAGCCAGCAAGGTGTCCGCCATCGAGACCTTCAAGATCGCCATTGCCCGCCCCATGAAGCTGCTCATCTTCGAGCCCATCATCACCTTCATGTCACTCTATGTCGCCATCATCTACGGCATCCTGTACATGATGTTCACCACCTTCACTTTTGTCTACTCTGAGCACTACGGCTTCGACGAGGGCTCCATTGGTCTTGCCTACCTACCCACCGGCATTGGCATGTTCATTGGCGTCAGCCTTTTTGGCTACCTCTCCGACAAGACCGTCAGGGACCGCCAGGCCAAGGGCCTCGTCCACCGCCCCGAGGTTCGCCTGATCCCCTGGTTCAACATCCCCTGCGGCCTGCTTCTTGTTGCCGGCCTGTTCATCTACGGATGGACCGTCCAAGAGCACGTCCACTGGATTGTGCCTATGCTTGGTGTTCTCATCTTCTGCGGCTCGCTCATGGGCATCATGATGTCCGTCCAGTCGTATCTGCTCGAGGCTTTCCTGACGCAGGCCGCCAGCGTTACCGCGGCGCTTGCTGTCCTCCGCTCCCTCTTGGGCGCCCTCCTCCCGCTTGGTGCCCTCGACATGTACCAGAGCAAGCTCCACTTTGGCTGGGGTAACTCGCTTTTGGGCTTCATCGCCTTGGCGTTGGCGCCTATTCCCTTCGTTTTCTACATTTATGGCGAGAGGTTGAGGAAGAAGAGCGGCTTCAACAAGGCCAACTGAATATCCAAAGGGGATACGTTGAGGCTGTTTTCTTCTTGGAAAACAATGAGTTGTATCAAGATTTGGAGAGGACAAAAGAACAAGGGAAGGGCATTGCATCTTTTTGCTGGAGTTTTGGGCTTTGGATTTTGGCATGACACCGGTACTATAGCGCGACCACTGATAGAGGCCGCATTACTTGCATAGCGTTTTGGATGTTATCTGCATTACGAGAATACCTAATTAGAAGCAGTAACTGTGGGTGACGAGCTCAGAGTCATGGCTTGATAAGAAGATCAGTATGAGATGGGAAGATGTTGAGAAATGTGGAAGATGATACGAATGAAAATCATCCCAACGCACCTATGCCGCCTTGAATAGCCATGGTGATTGAACCCATGATATCTAGATCTGTTTGTTCTGTTCAGTGGTGAGTGCCTGGAAAATAGTGGTCCATCAGTACTAGTAACATACACTCGGTAAGTACTGTAAGAATAGTCAGGGGTAAGGAAATGAAATCGGTTTTCACTACCATTTCACAGACATATGCCGAAAACCTGAGCGTGATTCAACGGGCGCGATAAGTACTGAGAAGGTGAAAAAACATT